GGTAGGATGAAGAGAATAATAATGCTTATCTCCATTATGAAGTGTTGTGAAATGTCCTGCTGAAAAGCACTATAGAGGAGCAAGCTGCTGTCACACTTCTAATTCTTTGGAGTAATATTTTCAGCACACGGTCATTAAATAGTGGAAGGCAAAAGCGGTGGTGTTTTACCTCTTCCCTTTACAAGAACTACCAAGACAACGGATAGAAATGGTTCTAAGCCTGCGAATGGTCATCAAGTACTAACCATTGTAAATGAAAACAGTGTTTTTATGTGATGTAGTGTTCCCAGCATTAATTCTGCTGTAGTTCAGGGTCTGTTAGAGTTTGCATTAGAGAGGTTTATAACTCCATCTTTTTAAAACACTTGAGGATGAAATTTGGTATGTAGGTTGTCGGCCCAGATGCATTTTTTTTTCCTTTCAAAAGACTGTTTAAATTGATCCAGCCATTTTTGATTTTAAGATTGGCAAAAGCATAAAATTGTCTGAGTTTCAGGCACTTTATTTGCCAAGCTCTAAAGTGAAAACAACATCAAGAAAAGCACCTTGTACAATGGATGAATCCTAATAGTGCCATTGACATTGAGGCTCTGACTTAACCCATGAAATGAGATAAAGCCACACTTAAAGTTACCGTTTCATTCCAAGCTCAGCTATTGCATCTAAATATAGTGATGGCACTTTAAAGATCCTGCTGGGTCAGAAATCTTTTTCTCCAGTTTTGCCAATATCCTTCATAGCATATTTAGGAAACGACTCTCAAGCCAGTACAAGATTTTAAGTGAGCTCTCTAAATTTCTGCACATGTAATATGTACACCAACTGTTCTGAGACCCTGCAACGCTTCTCCCCAAGAGACTTAATACCTTGCTGCAAGTCTTTTACTCACAATATGACAGCATGATTGATGCTACCAGATGGTAATGTAACTCCAGAATCAGCGCCTGAAACTTTTTAAGTGGTGGACAAAATACCCGCTACAACACCTTTGTGATTGTGCCACTTACACATGTCTCTTGTCAGAGATCCAGGAAATTCAAGAGGAGAGAATACAATGAAACTGGATTGCAGCCTGGAAAGACTTGCTTATGAAATGAAATAACAGTGAACAACTGCAAGGATCCGAAGATGTATTTTTGGTTGTAGGCTGCCAAAAGAGTCTGCAGCATGCATACGATTTATATAGGATGTACGGAATATATCTGGGAGCACAGAATGGTGTGTAGTAATATATAGGGATTTATGGACAGGAGTTTAGGATGACTGCATTACTTGTGAGTGGCAAATCCACATGAACGTTAGAGCAGGTCATTCTAAAAAAGCATCAATAAAACCTTCACAGCCCTCCCACGCCCTTCTCCATTTTGATTATGACACATATTTTATAGGAAAGATATTTTATGCATACTTTTAAGAGCACTAC